GGGCATGACCTAAACTTGTCCTTAACATCTATCAGCTAAGCTGATATGTAAGAAATGCCTCAAGTCCCTTTCTATCCTTTCCACTTTTACAGTTTTAACTATAGCTTTTACCTCTCACTTCTGCAGCATTCTCTCAATTGGTCTCCCTGCCCTAAATCTATCTCCTTTTCATCTTTCATGCTGTCTCCAAGTTCTCTCACTAAGCATCTCAGGTTTGTAAGGGACTGTTATCTCCAGCAACCAGGAGCTCAATACTTTCTGAAGTAGCTCCATCCATTTGCAGAAGCTGTTGAGAACATTCCTGAAGCACACTTACTGCCTTGCTTATAGATCTTCATGGCTCCCCTTATTACAAAACAAAGTTCAAACGTAGTGTGGCATGCAATACCTTCAACCTGACCTTGGCCTACTTTTCCAATTTTTTCTCCCAGTGCAAGCAAAATCCAAACCTCCAGTAACATCATGCCACTGGCTCACCCCCAATTAATCTTTACATACCCTGATTTCTATGCCCATGCTCACACTGTTCTCTCAACCTGCAAAGCCCTCTCTTAGGTTTACAATAATTTCTCCCTCCCCATGCTTCCACAGTCCTTTGTTTGCATGTTGATGATAGCATTTATTACAGTCTACGTTCAGTAACAACTGTCATTGGCTTGCCCTCACCCCCACTCTAGGCAGGCTGAGCATTTTCAAAGCAAGGGTTTTCTTTTCTTTTTAAAACAATTTCTATCCCAAGAACCTAATCAGGACATAAAATGTGAGGGCCAAATTAGAAAATCTATATAAAAATGTTTTGTAAACTAGAACACATTTATGAGTAAGTAAAATAAAAATTGATATGTTGTTTTCAATTTAATGGAATCAGACCTTTCTTTTCTTTTATTTATTTATTTATTTATTTATTTATTTATTTATTTAGTAAGTAAGTAAGTAAGTAAGTAAGTAAACTCTACTGCCCAACCTGGGGCTAGAACTCACAACCCTGAGATCAAGAGTCGCATGCTCTGCTGCCTGAGCCAGCCAGGCGCCCCAAACTCTTTATTCTTGTGCAAAATCCTCTTAATCTGTAAGAGCTAATTCCCTTGCCTGGGTGACCAACTGCAAATCAACTTTACCACACTTCCGTCTGTTTTCTCATTTATAACTCGAGGGCCATGACCTCTCTGCAGGCAGAGAAAGGGTGTGGTAAAGGAATTACTATGGGCATGGGACTGACCCAAAGAAAGGTGAACCTGCCAGTAACATGATAAAAACGAAGACATGAAGGGTTACTCTGCTTGACAGAGAATACATGGTTCCAGATGCTAGAAGGCGGCTCCGGAGAGTGAGGGTGGGTCCAAACATGTAGCGGGCTACCTGCAGCATCTCTGGGAGGATGACAGGGGCCTGCCACAATTGGGCAATGCCTGCTAGCCAAGAATGATCCGTGCCGCCTGCTTACAGTCGCAGAGCAGGGCATAACCTAAACTTGTCCGGGGACAGGGCGGCCTCTAACACTAAAAAGATTCCCTCCTTCAGAGAAAGCCCACTTTTCAGTCTTACTAAGGCAGTGTGAGTTCGCTGGACACCTCGAAGCAGAGGTCTTTGTGATGGCAAGGCTCACACTCCAGAACCCAACTGAGGGGCCAGACCTACAGTGGCAGTCCTTGAGGCTCTGCTCACCCAGGAAAGAAAGCCGGGTCCCCTGCTCTTGTGACACCTCTGAGAAAGGTTTGAGAACTTTATGGGGAGGAGAGCTAAATCACTAGAGGGTGTGCGCGGGTTCCTAGTGGAGAGCAAACACTGCCAGCATGGGCTGAGACTACCGCGGACGGAAAGTATGCACCGCGCGGCCCAGTCCTAGGAGATGCGCCCAGCGAAGGAGCGGAGGGGCAGAGTCACGGGATAGGACAGGCACCAGCTTCTCGTTTGGAGCAGCAGCGCAAGTCCCCTGCCCAGGCCTCCAGCCCCTAACGGAAATGCTCCAGGCTCCACACAGCGCCGCGCCCTCCCGTGCTCCTCACCGTCTCCATTTCAAGAGGCGCAGACTGGGCTCGCTCGCTGAAGCTCTCTGGGAGCCGGGCAGGAGGGGTGGAGGGGACAGGTCCCTTATGTCGGTACCGCTACACCACTTCCGCCGATCAGACAGGCCTGTGGGGGCGGAAGGCAGGGAGCTCACTCTTCCGGCGGCTGGCCTGGAAACCGCCCTCCCCGGGTCCTCTCCGGACCTCACCACGGATCCGCCGACGGCGAGGTGACTGGACCAGCCCGCTTGTATTTAAAATGTTCTTTTTATTTGTCGTTTAAAAACAAACGGAAAAGCAAAATCAAACTTTTGCCCTTGCCTCTTGCAACATAAGTATGTACAGTTCAGAATAGTCGCTGATACATATGAGACAGGGCATGAGGGGGTGCCGGAGGAGAGGGCGCTTTAAAAAGTCATTTCATCCGTTGTTACGAAGGACCAACCTTGCTGTACAGTCTACACACAACACAAAATAAAATCTTCTTGGGATTCACTTGTCTTGTGATTTATTTTTTAAAAGGGGGAGGTCCTGGAGGTGAAGAAGACTGTAAAGGAAAAACTGAAAATTGAATATGTGCAAATTAACAAAACCAACCCAAAATAAACACACGGGGGGGGGGGGGGGGGGAGGAGGAAGGCTGAGAGTAGGAAGGGGTAGATGCAGTGCCACAGGCAGGATAAAAAAAAAAAATAACAACCAAAATTCCCAGCCTTGGGTCTGAGTTGGTTATATAAAATTAAAAACTGTATAAAGGTTTCTTCACTAAATTCTACAGGACTATCGGATACCTAGCATATGCTTACAAGTCTGCCCCCATCCCCTTTTCCCAATCCCAGGGCCCAAGCCCCAACCAGAGAGCCTGACTCACAGGGAGTCAATCTCCCCCCCTCCTGTAGCCTAGACCTTTTGCTCTGGGAAGAATATCAATAGCTTGGGGGCAGCAGCCAGAATCTCCCCACTGTCTGGTTAATTACAGTGGTTTCTGTGGGAGTGGGGGGATGTTATTCTCTTAAACATTTGCAGCAGAAACAGTTGAGGAAGCAGCTTACTTCACCCCCCATCAGTGCACCAACCCCCCCAAATTCAAGCAAGTAAAACAAACCCTCTCCTGTGACCGTGCTCCCCTCCAGCAGGCCTGCTGCATCCACCACCAAGCCCACCCCTACCTCCAGACATTTGATTTTTAGAAAATATTAATTACAAAATCATGCCCCACACAGCCCCTAGGAGAGAACTGCATATAAGCTTCATCTTCATCCCCACGCGCTCCCTACTAGAGACGGGTCTGAGGCCTCACCCACCCCAACCCTACCCCTACCCCCCAGGAAGAGGTTCAACTGCAGCACAAGCTTGGGCAGAAGGGGAGAGAAAGGGAGGCAAACCCATCACCTCTGGCTCCCCTGGGGCCAGCTCTCTTTGTGCGTTATAACATGATCCGACTATACAAGGGGGTGAGAATTGCCCAGCCTCTATACCCCCACCTTACAGCAGTCACATCCAGGGGGTGGGAAGGAGGGGGTGAGGAAAAGGGCGGTAGGTTGGGTTATGGAGGGGGCCCCCCCACAAGGGGAGCTCCATGTGTCCGCCCCGCCCCCCTACCATTTATAAACTGGTTTTGTAAAAAGAAAATAGATATATTTATATAGAATATATAAAGCACAAAAATTAGTAGTTTTACATTTGCTCTCCCCGGGGGTGGGGGGAGAGGGGAGGGTTCTCACCTCCAGCCGGCTCCCCCATTCCCCACAAGACTATGTACAATCCCATGTATAAATAGATAAATACCCCCCACCCTCCCCGCGCTGACACTAAGCTCCCCACCCCCACATCACCACCCCTTCCCACCAGACCAGCAGCAGTTTGGTGACTGAGGGAAAGTGGGAGCTCCGGGCCACACCCTGCCTCACTGGGTATGGGCATGCCACTCAGGGATAGCCCTCACCCTACCACCCACCCACCCCATCCAGGGGCTGGAGGGCAAATGGGCTCATGATGGGGTTGGGAAAACAGGAGGGAGATATCCTGGTCCTAGGTTTAGCACCCCCTCCTGCCCCCATGTCTAGATGGAGAAGGAAGTCCTAGAGCAACTCGGGGCCAGTTATCCCCAATCTTCATCATCATTAGCCTCAACCACCATCCCATGCCCATAATTAAAAACAAAGATGGATTTTTTGTTGTTGTTTTTCTTCCTCTTCCTACCCCCCTTCCACCCACTCAGAAGAGGGCAGTGAGGTGGAAGAGAGGATCGGGGCAGTAGGGGGCTTGGAGAGGGTCTCACATTTCAAAACAGCAAAAAATCCAACACTTAAATGAGGTAGGTGTGGGTGCGGGGTCTCCTTGCCCGGCTTGCCTGGCTCGCCCTCCTGGGCAGCTGGGCGCCTCTTTCCCGTTCATGTTGCATTTGTCAGAGTGGAAAACAAGGAAACACAACCCATAGAGAGACAGAAACACAGAGGAGAAGAGGGAGACAGAGACAGATTGAGAGGGAAGGGGATGGGAGTGAGGGTGGGGGCAGGACCCGGCAGGCAGGGCCAGGTGTGGGACCCGGCCTTTGGGATTGTCAAGCTTAGTCAAGTCTCTTTGCAGCCTTGAGTTGGGCCGGAGAGGTCGGTGGGAGCAGCAGGGCTGTGAGGCCCGGCCACACATCCTCCTCCCCCCTCCCTGCTGCCTCCCAGTTGCTTCTGGGTAGTTCCCGGCCCATATCCCCCTCAAACCTGAGATGCCCAATGGCTGCTTCTGTCTGGCCCCTCCTGGAGCTGGGGGCAGAGATGCCAGCCTGGGGGCCGGTGGCGGGGAAGAGGGTTGCCCCTGGTGCCCAGGGTGGGCTTGGCCTAGGGCCCTCTGCCCCAGCCTCCTGCTCCAGGGGCTCCGGTCAGCCGGCAGCCCCAGCCCTGGGTCCTGGCTCTGGCTGCTACCTCTCTTCCCCCTCATCCCTTTCAGGGAAGAGGTTGGGGGTGGGGGGACTCCCCTGCCTGGTAGCCTCTAAGCTTCTTAGTTCATCCATTTTCGACAATTCCAGGCTCCACAGTGGCAGGGGATCTTGTGCTGATCGTCCTCAAAGTCAAACTGATAGTCATAGGTCAGCTGGAAAGAGAAGAGGGTAGAAATCAATGCCAGCCCCCCCAGAGGGAGTAGGGGAGGGCAGAGATCTGATCTGAGGGCAGTGGCCTTGGAGCTTGGCTCTAGGGAATGGCAGAGAAGAGGGAGCTTCTTTGTCACTCACACACGACACTTCCTCTCACCTCCTCTCCTTTGGGGATTCGCCGGCTGGAGATGATGATGATTTTATCCTCCTTGTCAAACGTCACAACTTCCGCCACACAGTTAGGGGCACAGGAATGGTTAATGTACCTAAGCAGCGGGCCAGAGTCGGGGATGCCAGGCAACTGAGTTGGGATGGCTTTGGTTCCTTTTTGGCCCACCCTGAGTGTCACCCAGGGACCCCTAAATCCCTCCTTCCTCATTCCTCTCTCACCTGGCAGGACCTCCGGTCAACGTAGCATCAATCACATGTTCATTGTTTATTCGGAACATGTAGATGCCTCGATTCTGGAAAGGAAGAAGTTGTACAAGTGAGGAGAGTATCAGAGAATGGTAGCGGTGCTGGTGGTGAGCAGACGCGGGCAGTGGGCTTATCTTCATTTCTTACTCTTTCTCCCATCACTTACCTCCTCCTCCCGCAGCTTTCCACCTGCTCCCCTGACCCCGATTCTGCCCCTTGCTCCTCCGCTGAGTGCAGACCATATACCAAGATGGCCCCTCTGCCAGTCCATACCTGCTCCTCATAGATTTTCTCCCGCCGGTTGGCCACCTCGTTGCGAATGATGGTGCCAATATACTCAATGACCATCGTGTGCTTTTCTAGGTCCTTGGCGGCATAGAGCCCCAGGCCCTGGATACGGGAGCGAGCCAGATACACATTGTTCTTCCACTCAGTGCGCAGACGCCGGTACTGTGATGACTTGGAGTGCACAAACTGCTTGCTGTATGGGGTGTTGGTCTCGCCTGTGAAGGTGCTCTGATACGCCTTGGACATGCTGGTGCTGTTCAGGGTGTGAGGCCTGGGAGGTGACACAGGCCATGACAAGACAGCTCTCCCTCAGACCAAACACACACCACCTGCCTCCTCCCCGGGATGCACAACATGCCAGTTAGGGGCATGTGCTGTCTTGGGAATGGAGCGGAGGCATGTGGGTCTTGGCTTTGGTGAGGTAGCCACTAGTTATGGGAACCCTTCTGACACCTGAGTGGGACAGAGAGCCCAGGATGGGGGGTGGGGTGTGGAGGGAGAGGGGGGCACCAATTCCCCTACACTGAGCCCGCTCTCCCATCTCCCCACCTTAAACCCCCCTCTTGCCAAACATTACACAAGGCCATGCTCCTCTGGGAGGTCTTCCCCAAGCAGCTGAGGCCTGGAATTTAAGCTCATGATTTGCTCAAACATCCGAGTTCTACCTCCTGAACATACTGGAAGCCCTGAAAATGGGGGCCGTGTCTACCACATCGGGCTGGATTTGAATTAAAAGTGGCTCTGAATTCACAGCCAAAAAGTGGTATCCTTTCCTTTCTTCAGACTGTCCCCTTCTCTGACATAAGGTTGGGCTCTGTGCAGATGGCTCAGTGCAGGGGAATGACTGCTGCCTGGCAGGATGCCTCTTCACCACCCTAGGGCACCAGCCAAAATCTTGCCCATCCCAGAGCAGTGGTTTTCAAACGTTTTTGATTCTTTTCTATTTAGCAAAAATCTGTTTTTCTTTTTTCTTTAACAAAATGTCATTGGAATTCCAATACACAACCTAGATGAAAAGAGAATGCTTCTGGATGAATCCAATTTGGGGAAGGGGGAGTTATGCACGAAGAGGGCCAGGTTCGGCTTACTCGGTTTATGTGTTCCAGGACTTTCTGAAACATACAAAGTTTGAAAACCACTGTTGCATCGAGGACTAGGGATGACTGGGGTAGTAGAGCCTGATGCTCTACCACAGCCCAAGGAGCAACAAAAGGCCTCCAAGAAAACCCTGTTAACGTGGATTCTGCCTCCCCTCTACCCAGGGACCAAAGTCAGGCTACCGTGGCACACAGAAAGAGCAGTGAACCGCAAGTCAAGAGGTAAGGTTCTGGTCCCAGCTGCGTGACCTTTGTCTAGTCACTTAACTTTTCTGGGCCTCAGTTTTCTCAGCTGTAAAATGGGGGTCATACCACCTGCCCTACCTACCTCATAAGGTTGTTGTGAGGATCAAATGAGATAATGGATGTGAAAACGCTTTGAAAAAAAAAGTATAAAGTGCTATACAAACGTAAGGTTTTAGTATTTTTCCATTATATTTCTAATTATTTTTGACACCAACTCAGCCTGGGGAAGGGAAGGTGACCCTAACACTTATAGGGTGTCTCAGGTTTGGGAGAATCACAGGCCCCCTAGAAGCAAAATAAGAGGAAGGAGGTGACTGGCCCCCTTACACATTCCATAAAAGTTCACCACCGTCTACCCAGAACCTCCCCAATAGCCATTCCCGGGGTGCCCAAGATAAGACTATCCCAGACCCCAGGTCAACCTAGGATACCTGAGCAGGGTGGAGGAAGAGGAAAGGGATACCCTAAGTGATACCTGCATACCCTCTAATCAGGAGGCCTAGAGTGAACCCCCAAACCCTCCTAATTGGCCGGAGGGTTCCTACCAACCACCCACTCCCACATCCCACAGCCCCCCCACACACAAGCTCACCGTTTGTAGTGTGTGAGGATTTTAGGCTCCGATCGGGCACAACCAGTGGGATTGATCATGAGTGGCAGCTCCATCAGGGGGTGGCGTCCATAGCGGAATAAATAGTTTTGACAGCTCTCCACTCCAGGCAGCTGTGGGCACAGGCCGTGCTTGCCTTAGCCTAAGCATTTTGGGGGCAGGACCAGAGTCCCCGGTGCCCACCTGGCCCCCAGCCCCTCCTTACTGATTCAGCTATGCGCAGCACGGCGTGCACCGTCAGCCCAAAGAGCTCCTCGCCTTTCAGGTACTCAGGGAAGAGCCGCAGCATGTCGGCCTCTTTTCTCATGGCAGCCACAGGCTCAATGATGCGATTCCACACAGCTAAGAGGCAAAGAAAGAGAGCAGCCCTCAGAGGCGATTTCTGCTCACTGACCTCAGCCCTAACCTCCATCTGGAGCTATGGTCATTTCCTGCGGCCTGCACACCTCCCTGTCACGAGGCTGTGTCATTCTTCAGGACCCTCCACTGGCCTCCCAGTCCCACTCTCCCTCAACAAGCCAGAAGGCTTCCTACCCTGGAGGGGCATCACAGAGCCCTATGACACACAAACATGGACCCAAGGGCCAGAAGCCCCAGCACAGGCCACAGTGACTAACCGAGAGCCAGAACAATAGGCATGCTCTGGACTTGGGAAGACTTGGGTTCAAGTTCCAGCACCGGCTTTAGGCCCTTAAGCCAAATACTCAAATTTCTCTAAGGCTCTGTTTCTTTATGTATAAACTGAAAGTACTTACAAAATGAAAAATGAAAGTACTTACATCATAGGGTTGGCATAAACAAAATCACCTGTATCAGTCGCTTACATTAGTTTGTGCCACATGGTACACGCTCACTTATTTTTATCATTAACGCTAAAACTAAGATCAACAGAATTTTGACCAGGGCGAAGCAACCATAAGGAACACGTGGTTAAGAACAGGGTGGGTGAGCTAGATGATGCGGTCTCAGAATCAGAATATTCTTTAGTTCCACTGCAGGTAGGAAAAGAAGCTAGAATACACGAAGTAGACTAGCAAAACATCTTCAATTACAAGAGCAATTAAGGTGACCAAGAGAGGCTAAAACACTTTCTCTGGGGATCTCTAGAAGACCTCTACCTGCCCGAGGTCAGGGGAGGAAGGTCACTCACAAAGACCCTGAGGATCTCTCCCATTTTCGTATTACCATTTCAAGGGCCCAGTGCTCACCCTGGGGGGAGGCGTCGGTGAAGACCAGGTCCTCCAGGCCCTGCTCGATGACTTTGATTATGAACTCGGGCCTTCCGTTGTTCTCGCCGATGGAGCAGCGGTAGCAGCAGCGGCGGTTGTTGGTGCGGAGGCTCCAGTAGATGCGTGTGGCCTCATAGCCCACAGGATAAAGGGCAGTGGCACTGTGGAAGTCGGCCATTTGGTGAGGGAGCAGCTGTCCAATGGCATGGAACACAAGGCCCCCTACACGGAACATGTGCAGCCGCTCTCCCCGCTGGATGATGCTGGCGATTTGCTTCACCTCATCCCGCTCAATGTAGACCCGCCGGAAGACAGCAAAAGAGCTCAGCTCCTGCTCACAGGGTCCCTTGATCTTATGCATTGGACACAGCATGGTCTTGTCCTTGAAGAACATGCACTTGGCGCGGATGGCACAGGCAAAATGGTAGACGTTGGGACAACGCATTCGATTGCAGCTGCTGGTGGCACCGGTGCGCTGGCACAGGGAGCACTTGGTGAGCAGTCCTCGGTGCAGGGCAACCTCCACGTTCATCAGTGCCCCGCCCTGGGTCTCATATACCTCCGTGGACCACAGAGCGCAGTTGAGGTGCACCCACAGGTCCAGGTCCAGGTTCAGCAGGCGGGCAGGTCCATCAGTGGCCCCATCACCCTCCTCGTGACAGAAGCAGCAGCGCCGCATGTCGCGAGGCACCTTGTCGGGTCGCAGGGCTGTGCCGAGCTGTTCCATAAACTCCGCCACTTCCCGCTCATCCTCCTGCCGTCCACCGGCCTTCTGAATGGTCAGCAGCAGCCGCAGCCGCTTCCAACGCACCCCCTTCCACTTCTTGAGGCGAGGGGGCCGGGAATCTTCACCTTCTTCAGGGGGCCGGGCTCGGGGCTTGGGTCGGGCTGATTCAGGGGATGAGGCCAGTGGCAGAGGCGAGGGGACAGGTGGCTCAGCTGAGGGTTCAGCCGGGAGTTCAGCCAGGGGTTCAGCAGGGGGGCTGGCAGGAGAGGGTGCCAAGGGGGATGGGGGCGGGGAGGGTTCTTCAGGAGGCGGGGCTGAGAGCTGTCGCACATCCAGGTTGGAGACGTTGTAGGTGTAGCTGTGTTGGGTGGGTGGCTCTGGGGCGGGGCTCTCCTATGGGAGGGCACGTGCCCGGTATCATTAGTGCCAGCTCCTCACTTAACTAGCCCCCTCCCTCCTCTCACCCGGATGCCACTCTCCCCAAAGCCCTCTGCCTTCTTTGCTCTAGCCAGACACCCACCTCCCTTTCTCTCCCAGACCCACCTGTTTCAGGAGGCTCAAGATGTCTAGCTGGCTCTTGAGGGTATAGCCAGGCAACACTGCATCAAACTGTTTCAGCCAATCAGGGCCAGCTTCTGGGCTCTTGCCTCCCAGACCCTTTTCTTTCCCTCCTGCAGGAAGGAAGGGATCAGAACCTCCCACCAGAAGCATTCCCCGCAGGTCCCAAGTTTTCCTGCCACACTCACCAGGGCCCTCGGCTTCCCCCTTCTTAGGTTCAATGCCTGCCCGGGCAGGGCTCTCTGGGAACAGCACCTCATAGGAGTTGGGGATCTTCATGCTCAGCAGCTCTGCCACCGCCACCATCACACCATTCAGGTTCTACCAGGGCAGGGAAGGGGATGGGAGGGCTGTGTCGGCAGTGCGGAGTGAGCACTGTCACCGGTTTGACGGGGACACCCTTCAACACCCAGAAGCCCACTCCCCAAGCAGCCAGTCAGTCCTGTCCTTCTCACATGCTTCCTTCATAGCACCTTTCCGAGACTGCTACGGACATGAATGGGCGCTCCACCAAAAGGGACCAGTGCCAACCGAGTTTAGGAATGACACAGGCTATATCCACGACCTGGAGACTCACGATACACATTAGCAAATTAAAGGATCTGAGGAACCTTGTAGTAAAGAAACTTGTTTTGTGGTTTCAACCGGGATTTCCAATTTTCTTTGACCACAAAACCCCGTCAACATTAACAATAAAATAACAAGAGTTCTACCAAATGTGACTGAAGACATGCTGTCTTACAGCATTTGTCGTGTCATGTGCAACTCTCCTCATTTGTTGACTTGGGTCTACCACTGGACAGGGAGCCCTCCTGAGGGCAGGGACCTCTCATGCTTTATTTACCCTAATCCTGAAGCCTCCGGCCCAGGCACTCACACACAGCAGGTCCTAGTGCATAGTTCTGAGTGACTGAACTTATCCACACAAGCTCCATGGGCTGCCTTCTGACCAGGATCCCCTTGGTCTCCAAGGTACCCCCAGGACACACCTTGGCTGCAGCAGCAGAGACCGTCAGCATGACTGACACCTCACTTCCTTTGCCCTTTTCCCAAGTTGTGGCAGGCAGCTTTCCAGGGGCCTCCAGGTCCAGGGCCCCATAAGGTTTGGTATCTGGGAAGACTGAATGAGAGAGGGACCTGTGTAAGCTCTAGCTGCCTCTCTCCCCCCAGCTCGGACAACCCAGCCCTGCCTGGCCCACACCCAGAGCAGCCTCTACCTGGGATACTGGCCCGAGGAATGATGGGGATGACAGGGGAGAGAGCCCGGTCATCCTGCTCCCATCGGCCTGAGCCGAGCTGAGGGAAACGAGGGGCCTCTTCCCCCAGGATGCTCTCAGGGGACGAAGCCGGCACAATGCTGTCAGGAGAATCGCTGTCCTCATCACTCTCCATCCTGTGGGCCAAAAGTAGACATTTGCTGGTACTGCCCTGCAGACTCCCCCTCCCAAATCTAGAAATTAGTCGATGTCATAGCCGGATTTGAAATCTGCCATTGGCCAAAGGAAAGATGAAACAACCTGCCCCGGTCCCGTACTCCCATTCCTCATCCCCATTTCTGGCTGCCCCCACCTGACATCCTCAGTCTGATTGTGAGGGGGTGTAGGCAAGGCAGCCAGCAGGTCTAGACTCTTCACCTCTGAAGTATCTGAAGAGTAGAAAGGGAGAAGAAAAGTCAGGCTGGTGACCAGAGCTGACACGGCTTTCTCCCCCATATTTCAGGCCTAACTAGTATAAGATCTAGCTTAGTTATTACGAACTGCTGTCTACCTACCCACCGACCTACAAATCTGGGGCAGATGAGCTGTATTTATTGAGCCTTTCCTCTATGTCAGGCCCTGGGCTTTGTTTATCATCTTTTAACAACTCCAGCAAAGGAATAATATCACGCCTCTTTATAGTGAGGAAATTGGTGCCCACACAAATCAACCGTATTACTTAGCTGTGCTAACACAACTAAATTAATACAGGAACCTGAATTCAAATCCAGATTTCACTGTAGTTCTATAACCACTCAAGCAGGATTGTTCCTCACCAACAAAAGCCTCATTACCCCTTTCCCTGCCATCTACCTCCTCTGTTGCCTGTTCTCTGGACTCCCTGCTTCCAACTCATCAGCCCTGAAGAGGCCCTTCCTAACCTCAGGTATCCTGTCATATGTGCGCACAAGGCAACATGCAACCATTCCTCTCAAACTGTATGAGAGGGGATACTAACCAACTTGGACCCCCGGCACTAAATCCTACCAGAGAAGGAGAGGCCCACTCTGCTCCTGACTTACCCCTCAGTGTCCCTTCAGTATCCCGGGCAGAGGCAGCATCCTTGGGGTGCTCCCCCAGCTCTTCAGATGGAGTGACGCCATTCACCATCTTCTGCTGCACCGATGGGGGTGGGGTGGGGGGCAGCGACGAGGGTGGTGTCGGCGGGTTACTCAGGTTATTCTGGGGGTGGGGTGGGGTGTTGTGTGCAAGATGGCATAGGGAGACTGATGTAATCTCCTGGCCCCACACGACATCAGCAATTTCCTCATCTTCCATTCCCACCTCCACCTCCCCAAGAACCTCGTCATCCCCAAGAGGTATTGCCGTTTTTCTGACCTTGGTAAGCAGCTGGGAATAGTAGTCAGGGCCCGTGGACAGCGCCCCACTTCCAAAGGCCCCCCTCAGCTGGCATTGCCCATTGACCGGGCAGCCACTGCCGAAGGGAGCAAAGAGGCTAAAATTGGCGGTGATGGTAGGCTCCGTTAAGGGCAGCAGGGACAGCTCCTAAGAGGGGCAAGATGACAAGGTTGGAAACCCACAGTGTGTACATCTCTGCCACTGCACAGCTGGGGGCCAGAGTGCCCCCTATCCTGGGATGGGACCAGGGGGCTGGCTCCTGGGGGTCACCTGTTTCAGCTGTTTCAGCAAGGCCTCGCTGGCCCTGACCCCGTCCTCCTTCCGCAGCTTCTTTCGGGAGCTCACCAACCTGTCGCTTGCCTTCTGTACCCGCTTGGGCTTTGGTGTCAAAGGCTTTCTTGCTGCTGTATCCTAAGCCAGATAAACCCACAGTGAAGGCTGCTGTCTTCCTCAGAGCCCTCGCCTCCTGTTTGAACCAGACATGTTCACGCTGCCCTAGGTTGCAGCCCCAATTCTATCTGCTCCAATCCATCTAAAGTACTCACCTCCTTGTTGCTGGGGGTACCCTGTAGTTTCTGCTCCAGCCCAGCCAGCTTGCTGTCAATGTGCCCGTTGATCTCAGCTCGCAGCCCCTCGGGCCCCCGCCCAGTGCTGAGTTGCACATTCTTTGCCCGTAGAAGCTTCTGCAAGAGCAGATGCCCGGCCTCTGAGCGGGGGCCTGCCAGCAGGAGGTGGTTGCTGGTACCTGGTGCCCCTATTGGCTCCCCGTTGGCCTCCCTCTTCACCGCCTGGGCTCCCAGGGCACATGGCTCTTCCCGAGGCTCCTGCTTGATGCTGAGATGGGGTGGCTCAGGCACTGCCTGCCCATTCACCTGCTCCAGATGAATGCTCTGCTCTGGCTTCTGGGCTTCCACTAGGTTGTCTGGGGGGTCCCAAGGTCCCAGCCCCTTGCCAAAGAAGGTATCTGCAAGCTGGGCAGCAGCAGGTGAGACCCTCCCAGGAGGCAGCTCCAAGGATGGGCCCTGCGGTTTTGGAGTCCCTGGCTGGGTGGGGGTGAGCTGGGCCTCAGAGGGGAGCTGGGATGGGACCAGGGGGCTGGCTCCTGGGGGCTGTGAGGAAGGTCTCTTTGGCTCTTGGGGGCTGGATGGTGGAGGTGTGGGATGGACAGGGCCAACGACTGGTCCTGTGGATAAGGCTCCTTGTGGGGTGGGGAGCCGGGGTGGGCCCTGAGGTCGAAGCCCTGCCCCTAGCTCCTGGAGGGGGCCAGTCTGGGATCCAGGGAAGCCCCCAAGTTGAGGCTGGCGGCCTAGGAGGCCCTGGAGGGGAGAGGGCTGGGCCCCAGGCTCCTGGTAGGGTGGGGCATGGCGCACTGACTGACTCTGCTGCAGCTGCCGCTGCATGAGGAGCGCCTGTAGCTGCTGCTGCTGCTGTGGACTCAAGTGCCGCAGCTGGGGGTTTTTGGCCAGGACTCCTTGGAGCTGTGCTCGAAGCTGACCCACCGTAGGCATGACGCCAGCCCCGGGCAGGCCCTGCCCAGCCTGGGGGACAGGTCCTGATTTGGCAGGCTGTGGCCCTGCATTATTCTGCACTGGCCGCTCTAGTCCAAGGGGCTGTTGGGAACCCAGAAGGTTCTGGGTCATGGTTCCAGGCTGCTCCCCTAAAGGAACAGAGGATTGGGCCAGCAGGTGGGGCATAGATGAGGCCTCAGAAGATGATCCGCTGCCTGCTTGCCCATGGCTTCCCACACCTCCTGTGTGGAGCAAGTTAACTTGCTGCTGCTGTTGCCCTGGGACCCTCAGAGGTGGCTGCAGCTGCACAGGGTTGGGCTGAGGCTGGGCCTGGGGCTGGACAAGCAGGAGCTGTGAGTCCCCGGAGAGCGAAGGCTTTACCTCCCCAGGTTCGGTCGCCACTGACTCAGGTATAGTCCCTATTGCTAACGGCCCTCCCTGATGTGTGGAGGGCCCCTCAGTGGCCTCTGGAGGAAGAGCTGTCTCTACAATGCTTTGTTCCTTGCCCGTCAAGAGGACAGTTGGGCCCAGGGTTCCGGGGTTAGAAAAGTGTTGCACAGGCTTGGCTGGTATGCCAGGGCCAAGGGTCACCTGCTGCTGCTGCTGCTGCTGCTGCTGCTGCTGCTGCTGCTGCTGTTGCTGCTGCTGCTGCTGCTGCTGCTGCTGCTGCTGGGGAGACAATAAAGTTCGACTCTGGTTCAAGAGGCCCATCTGCTGCTGTTGCTGCTGCTGCTGCTGCTGCTGCTGTTGCTGCTGCTGCAATTGTTGTTGCTGTTGCTGCTGCTGTTGCTGTAGCTGCTGCTGCTGTAGTTGCTGTTGTTGTAGTTGTTGCTGCTGCTGCAGCTGCTGCTGTTGTAGCTGCTGCTGCTGCTGCTGTAGCTGCTGTTGCTGCTGCTGTTGTTGCTGCTGTAGCTGCTGCTGCTGCTGTTGTTGCTGCTGTAGCTGCTGCTGCTGAAGCTGCTGCTGCTGTAAGGAAGCCATGGGCTGAGCACTCAGTTTGGGCTGCCCGCTGTGTGGCATCAGGCCCTGCTGAAGATGGGAAAGGCCTGCCATGGATCCCTGCTGTTGGTGCTGTTGCTGCTGCTGCTGCTGGGCTGTGACCAGCCGGTGTCCCATAAGGCCCTGACCCTGCTGTGCCAGCTGGGGGGAACTCAGCACCCGGGACTGGGTAAGAAGTACCTGTCTGTGAGGACCCTGGGGCCCCAAAGCTCCAGGGTGCTGCTGCTGCTGCTGCTGTAACACTGCCACCTGGGCAGGGCCCAGCATGCCCTGGGGCCCCTGGGGTGGTTGCGGGGACAGCTGCTGGACCAAGAGGCCTTGATGGCTACTGGGAGGCAGAAGCCCCGGGGGCTTGGGACCCAGAGCCTGGTTTGCCTGTACCCCCAAGCTCTGCTGCTGTTGCTGCTGGATTGCCACCTGTCCTAGGAGGTGCTGTTGCTGTTGCTGCTGCTGCAATTTCTGGGCTAGTTGCATGCGTTGCTGCTGTAGCTGTAGCTGCCTCTCCTGTAAAAGTCTCGAATCAGGTCCTAGGCCTCGAAGAGCAAGGTTGCCAGGGAAAAAGCCCCCTGAGGGGCCAGCCAAGGCCCCAGTCCCACCAGAATGTTGCTGTTGCTGCTGCTGGGCCAGGGAGGTGTTGAGGAAAGGGCCACCAGGCTGCCCAGGGAGAGCCATGCCCCCTGGGGGCAGGCGAAGACCTGCAGCTTGCCCACCCGGAGGCCCCTGTGGTGGCTGCAGCCCATGGCCAGGGATCAGCTGACCGGGGAGCTTGGTGAGTAGCCGGGGACTCTGGGAAGGGCTGAGGGCCAGCACAGCTGAGTGTTGCTGTTGCTGCTGTTGCTGCTGTTGCTGCTGCTTATTCCGATATTCTGCCATGAGGTTGGTGTGCTCCTTCTGCTGCTTCCGGACCTAACACAGGAGGGTTGGGAGGTGAGCCTGGGGCCTGCCCATCGGAGCCATCCCTGTTCCCTGGGCTCCTGGTTTCTAGGCTGAAGTCTGCTTTCCCTACCTGATCCAGCTGTTTCTGGATCTTGCTCTGCTGCTCTGTAACCAGCTTGAGCTTCTCAGCATCAGCTTCTGGGAACTCACGGCCAGCCTTCTTGGCAGTGCGCTGTTTGGCACACAGAGCCTTCCGGGACTTGCGATGCACACCGATCTGCTCCTCTAGCACCTTCAGCTGCATCTGTAGGAGCTGCTGGGTATGAAACAGCCATTCCTCATACTGCCGCTGGTCAGCCTCATCTGGGAAAGGAAACAGGGTGTCAGGACCTGCAAAAGGGTGATCCCAATCCCTCTTCTTCCACACACCCCACTCCCTTGCACACTCCTCCCCATCCCCCTACTCACTGATCACTCCCTGGGCAAAGGTGGGTGGATTGGGACGAGGCTGGGAAGGGTCACCAGCACTCCGCTCCTGTGATGAGAGAGACTGCTAAAGGGTCATTGTTCCATACTAGGCCCTAAAAAGGGTGGCCTGATTGTATAGGACACAAGTTCCTACTCCCAACTGATCACTTACCTGGCCACTCCCAGCTGCCACGTGGTTCTGCAGATCACTGCCGGGCCCCCCTGAGAGCCTCTGGGCTAGCAGAGATACTTGCTGCCTGGAGTCCACCAAAGCAAAGGGGATGCACAGGTGATGGGGAAAGTTGAAAGGCAAAGAGGTGGGACAAGTAGGGAAGGGGACCAGGAAGGAGAGGGAAAAGACTGGGAAAGGAAAGAGCCAACCACCCCCCACCTCCCACGTCTTACCTGTTCATACCAGGTGCCACTCCAATGCTGCCCTGAGCCATCACTTTCTTGATGCCTTTCAAAGCCACCATCTTGGCCTTTGCAATGGGATCAATGATATCTTCTGCTGCAAATTTGTCCAGATCTGGAGAGGGGAGAGCCAAGTAAGGTGGACATTGGATTCAATACTCCACTTTGCATCTGCCATTCCTTCCAACACCTTGACCTCCACCAAACCAAGTAGAACAATGGCATGACAAGAAAGTGTTAGAAAGACTAGGAGCCAGGGAGCCTGGCTGACTCAGCTTTATTATTCACAAGATAGTGGCCCTGTTTTTACTCGCACAGTGCTAAAGTGTACTCAGTAAACATCTGCTGAGCTAATGTATCAACGTCATTTGACTTCTCTGAGCCTCAGTTTCCTCCTCTATTTGACAGACCTTGTGATTCCCTACTCCGCCAACCTCACAGAACTACCATGAGGATCAAATGTAACAAAGACTGTGAGTACACTTTATGACCTAGAAAGCATTCTTCAACAGAAGTACTCTTAGGGCAACTAGTGCAGCCCAAGAACCCTAGATGTGGGCACTGTGCCAAAGTCCTAGATGCCAGTGCTGCTTTGGGCACCACATGCATCACCTACAGCCCATTTCTTGTCTATTCAGGATGCTGGGTTAAAAAGGAGAAATAAGCAACCACCAAAAACTTACATCTTCCTAAAATCCTGCACATTTTATATTTCTCCACTGCTCTCACAACTTCACTCTCCACTTTTTAAAGGACTAACCTGGGGTGCCTGGGTGGCTCAGTCAGTTGAGCGTCCGACTTCGGCTCGGGTCATGATCTCACGGTTCGTGAGCTTAGGCCCCACATCGGGCTCTGTGCTGACAGCTCAGAGCCTGGAGCCTGCTTTGGATTCTGTGTCTCCCTCCCCCTCTCTCTGCCTCCCCCACACGTGCTCTGTCTCTCTCTGCCTCTCAAAAATAAAGAGAATTAATTAAAAAAAAAAAATTTTTTTTAAGGACTACCCAAACTCCCTTTCCTCCTATTTTAAGGCCACAAAATAGTCAAGAGGACCAGAGGAGCAGGATTCAAACTCTAGCTGTTAGCTGTATGATCTGGGCAAGTTACTCGCCCTCCATGCCTACTTCCCTAACTGAAGACCCTGGCAGTACCTATTTAATGAGTTTGTTGTGATTCAATTGGACGACGATGGTAAAGTGCTTGGCACACTGCTTAACAAATGTTATCCCAATAAACAGTATTGAATTAGAGATCTTCCTCAATCTGGCCCCCCTTCTCACATCTCCAAAATTAGGGTAGTACCCGCTTACCTTCCTCCACATGGAGTCCACTCTGGCCTAGCCACCTCAATATGGTCTCCAAACGCACTCACCGGCTTCCCCCCACAACATTTCCCACTCAAGGGCCTGTGCCCGCCTGGACTGCTGTTTCCTGCACTACTTCTCTCCAGCTCCCGATCTTCTGGTCTCGCACAGCTACAAAGCCCTTGCCAACCAGGCTTCATGCATTCATTCCATTTGTTCAAGTATCTAACTGCCTGCTCTATGCCAGGCGCCATTCCTCCGTTGGCAAAAGCTACAATGCTTCTGCCTGCACTGCTAGTATGGTGTTTAGCCCATGCTCTTTGTGTCCCACCTCCCTCAGCTGGGGATTATCTTAGGTCTCTAGCTCCAGTGTCCATTTGGTGGTAGCAGTGATCACCCCTGAGTAACTAAGCCAGTGCCCCTGGCTCAAGTTACCTGTATCAGGGAAGAAGCTGTTAGCCAGCTGCTGCTGCATGGCCAGCTGCTGAGGTTTCATACACATGGAAGGTGGCATGGTACCCATGGGCTTCTGTGCCAGCACTGGCTGTGGGCTCTGCTGGGGCACCAAGCCTGCCTGCCCACCGTGCTGCCCACTTAGCATATGTCCTTGACTGGACACCATGGCCATGGATGGGGCCAGGCGCTGCTGGAGGGCATGTGCTGGTGGCTGGGTGGGCATCAGTGGTTGGGCCAAGCCTGGCTGTCGGGAACCCCCAAGTCCTAGGGCAAGCTGCTGTTGGGGCCCAGCCAAACTGGGAGAAGAGCCTTCATGTGTCAAAGACATGGCCTGGGCAGGGCCTGGTGTGGCCAGCAGGGAATGCTGCTGCTGCTGCTGCTGCTGCTGCTGTTGTTGCTGCTGTTGCTGGGCAGGCTGCAGCTGTGCCGAAAGCTGCTGCTTCTTCTGCAGCTCCTTCTTCTCATGCTCCAACAGGTCTTCGATGAGCAAGGGTAACTCACTGGCTACCAGCGAGCTCTCCATCTTGTCCAGCTCATCCCCTGATGCTGCATGTCCACCGGGCAAGGTCAGGGCCCCACTCTCCAGCTCAAACTTTTCCAGCAGGGAGGACCCTCCTGGGCCACTCAGCGGGCTGGGTGTCAGCAGGTGAGCTGGTGGTCCTCCTGTGGCCCCAAAGGGGCCCTTCTCAGTTGTGTGCCCACTGCCGGAAAAGGGTCCTGTGCCCATCCGGGTGTCCCGGGTGCCCATCACACTCTGTCCTGGTTTCAGCCCTAGACCTAGGGAAGTGGTGGCAGGTGCTGGCTCTACCTTGGGGGTGGTAATGGCGAACTGGCAAGGGGAAGGGTGGCGCCCACCTTCCTCTACCTTGGGCTTCACCTCAGGGAGCACCGACGCCAGACGGGCCTCAGAGACATCAGCAGCAGGCAGAGGGCGCTCATCAGGGCCCATGGGTCCTGGCTCCACCCCCCGCAGCAGGGCCTCCCGCTCAGCCTTTTCATTGGCCGACTCTACCAGCCTCAGGTGCTCATTGAAGATGTCCTTCTTGTCCCCAGTATCCAGCTCAGGGTCAGTATAGGCCAGCAGATCAAACTCATCCCCATTGAGCAGGTCATCCAGGTGAGGGTCATTGGTCTCCAGGTTTTCCAAGGTGCCCAGCTCATCATCTCCCTTGGCCACATCCACACCCAGGCCCAGGTGAGCAAGCTCCTCATCATCCTCTAGGGCCTTGTGGGCATCAAAGTCATCGTCCAGCTCAGGATCCTCACAGGGTAACTTCCCAGCTTCCAGGGCCAGAGGAGGAGGGCGGCCAAGCTCAGTGCTTGAGGTGGGCCGGCTGACCAGCTCCAAGCCAGTGGGCAGGGAGGGACCTTTGGTGTGGGGCACTGGATGGAGACTACTGTTCAATTCAGGGGCCGGAGGTGCTGTGGGTTTCTGTGGGGGAAGGCCCGATACTGCCAGGCCTCGAAGCCCTTCAGGAGCCATTCGGTGGGAGTCCTCACTTACTGGGTAAAAACGGGGTCTCTGAGGGGGGCCCTGCCCAGGAAACGGAGCCCCCCCAGGTCCTAGTCCTTTCTGTACATTGTGCCGCAACTCAATGAACTGGGCAGGACCAGCTGGACCAGGCACTGGCTCTCCAGGGCCAGGGAGGCGGGCGGGAATTCCTGCCAAGGGGGTAGCTAGGGTTTGGCGGCCAAGTTCAGGCCCAGGAGTTGATGGAAAGCGAGTAGACATGGCAAGGCGCATGGAGGTTGCTGTTGCCTGCTGTTGTTGCTGCTGCTGCTGCCACAGTTGTTGCTGCTGCTGCTGCTGCTGTAAGGGCAGGGACCCAGGATAGGGTGCTCGCTGATAGAAGGCTTGGGAGCCTCCCACCAGTTGCCTGGAAGAATATGCGGTAGTCAGTAAGATGAAATCAGGATCAAGTGCTAGAACATGGGCTTAGGGCATTAAGGAAGGATGGAGTTGACACAGTAAGAAGGAATGAGGAAGAAGAGTAAGTGATACTGGACAAGGGTCAGACACAGGAAAACGTGGGGCAACACACAACAGTGGTGAGATCTCCTCCCTTACTTTAACCTTTGCTTTGGAGCTTACCGGCTGCTCACATCCATAGAGGAAGGGGTGGCTGGTGGAGGTGGCCGGGAGAGTCGGTCATCGCTGGGGAAAGCCCCTGGCCCCATGATGGGGCCACCCAATTTGCTTGGGGGCAGCCCCACAAGGCTACTCTTGTCCTGGGAGAGATGGAGGTGGATGAAGGAGGGGTTGCCTTCAGTATCCTGGACCCGCCACCCCTTGCCACCACTCTATCTACCTGGGTCCCAGCAAAGGGAGTCTGGCCTCGATTCAGCTGCTCAAAGGCAGGGCTGCTGGGCTCGGCACCCCAGCTGCCCGGGGGCCCCACTGCTCCTGCAGCTGCCGCAGCTGTTTCCTTCTCTTGCCGCAGGGTATTGCGCTGGATTTGCTGCCGAATCAGGAGCTCCCGTAGTCGCTGGCGCTGTGCAGAGAACAGAGAAGTGGGTTAAGTCCATTCTACTCCAATCACAGAGCTGGCACAAGAAAAGCAAAGATATGGGGGTTCACTCCAGGATGTCCACCCACCTGCCGCTGCTTCTCCAGTTCTGTCTGGCTGAGGCTGGACATGCCTGGGTCCTGGGTACCTGGAAGTTCAGGTGCCGCCAAAGAGCTACCCAATCCAGCCCCTGGGTCTTCTCGCTTATCGACTGGAGAGGTGATGCCTGCCCGCTGTGAGGCTCCATGCGACAGGTAGGGGAGGGATCCATCCGGTGCAGGTGGTGGTAGGACTGATGGGGGGCGTAGCGGGGACAGCCCAAAGCCCTCTCCTGTGGACCCACTGCTGGATCCCAGGGGGCTGCCTGATGGGTGGAAGTTCCCTGTGGCTACTGCGTAGTTTGTGCTTTGAGGCTTGCCCAAAGTAGGGCCAGGCCCAAAATGGCTGTTGATCCCATGGGGTGGAGGGAGACCAGGCTGAGGGACAGGGGGCTTTAGGGAAGGCTCCCCTACCGCCTGAGGGAAAGTGAAACGCATGGGAGAGGGGGTGCCCACAAATGCACCCGTCCCAGGGGACCGGGCAAAATTGGGGGGCTGCCCACTTGGGACCTTAGCATGGAGCTCACCTGCCGGTCCCGAGGGCAGGGCTGCTGGGAAGCCCCCAGCCCCCAGTGGAGTGTGGGCTAGAGGCCCAGCCTTGAAGGCAACTTCAGGGGGCTGGGGTCGGGGTGGCTTATGCAAGGGGGCAAATGGGTCACGGGACTGAGGACGTGAGGGTGGACGGGAATAAGGGTCAGGGGACTGGAAGCGAGGGGTAACAGGGGATGGGCAAAAAGCCTCGGCAGACAAAGGACGGGGTGTTAATGGGGACTGCGAGCTGGACTGGGACTGGGGACTGGCAGGTACTCGGGAGAAAGGGTCTGAGGGCAATGAGCGAGGGGGCAGGGCACAGCAGCTTTCAGGGGGTGGGGGTTGAGGCCGAGGG